TTGGAATGATGATACAGTTCTTAGATTCCTAAGGACGGAGATTGTAAAAATGACTTTGCCCATCAGCGGTGGGCTGGGTGCTTTGGGGTTAAGAATCCATAGCCCGGGTCCCAAACCGAGCAATCGCGCTTTAGCGAAGCCAGACGCCCGAGATTAAGTTTGCAGGATGGTTGCCGTTCCTGATTGCCAAGACTTACTGGCAGGAGCGAGTTCTGGTGCAACTCCCCACGGGAGAAATGGTGCAGTGGAGCGAAGCCACAAGCTCTTACATGACGTGCCAAGATCGCTGCCAGCTAGCGGTTGAGATTCTCACCGCTCGAGGCCCTCATTTCAGTCTCAAGTGGCTGGCATACATGGGCTGCGTCCTCACATACCTGGCCTCAATTGGCCTTTCGGTGAGGGACACAGGTGCCACCAACTTGGGGATGACCCTTGCCACGTGCTCCCATGCACATCCGGCTGGGATTTTCTTTGACACTTTGTCATGGAACAGGGCCAGCTGTCCAGATGTCAAGTGGACAGGATGGAAGGCGTTGGCAGAAACTGTGTGCCCTTTGCGCGCAGGGTGGCCCATGACAACAGTTACTTCTGCAAGGACTGAGGTCAAGCTTTACAGTAGATCCAACAAGCTCTATACTTGACAGGCTGCGCCGGATGTGCATTGGAAGGTAGCCAGGCGCAGGCGTTCCAGAGCCTCGGCTGACGAAGGCATTATAAGGTCGAGACTTCAGTCGGGTAATGCAGAAAGAGCGAAGTCGGAAAGTTGTACTGCCTGCGGGTACTTGTTGCGATCATAGGATATGACTCTTGCAAGTATGGGTACATCACAGGACACCATCGTCCAGAACAGCCTAAATGTGGTATGATGTTAATGTAGGGGCCTAAATAATTGCCTATATTATTTTTGGGCTTTTATTGTCATTATAGTATACTGGACCCCAAAACCCCATTCCAATTATTAAGGCCCCTACATGATTTCGATCAACATCATGAACTGCCTTTACCTCCCAGCGCATGATGTGCCATCTCACGTAGGGGTCGGCATTAATTGCGTAGGCACGTAAAGCCAGCAAGCACGCAGGTACGCTGGCATGCAAGCAGGCAGACAGGCAGGCATATGCGAGGAGGTAGGCTAGCCTGTCTGTCGTTCTGGGCCCAGCCCCTTAGATTTTGTAGTCGGCTAGCAAAAGCCCTCGGCATAAAATGAACGAGCTGATCAAGAGCTCCTGGGTTCCACAGACAATCCCTTGAAACCCTAAACCCCAAATCCCCTAAACCCCAAAACCCCTAAACCCCAAAACAACCCCTAAACCCCAAACCCCCAAACCCCCAAACCCCCCAAACCCCCTAAACCCCCAAACCCCCCTAAACCCCTAAACCCCAAACCCCCTGAACCCCCAAACCCCCAAACCCCCCTAAACCCCTAAACGCCTAGCCCCTTAAATCCCTAAACCCCCAAACCCCCCTAAACCCTAAACCCTAAACCCTAAACCCCCAAACCCCCCTAAACCCTAAACCCTAAGCCCTTAAAGGAACCCTGAAAGGATCCTTAAAGGAGCCCTTAGCGACCCCTTTGGGTCCTTT